CGTCAAGAGCCTCTCCAGCACCAGTCCGGCTGCCAAGAAGAAGCTGGCTGCAGCGGCGGCGGCAGCGAGTGCCAAGCGGGACCGGAAGCCCTCCGGGAAGAAGAGCAAGACCACCATGCGGAAGTCGCTGAGAGCAAAGAAGTAGCCGGTGGGTGGGTGGGGAGGCAGGGGAACCGCTTGGGTGGGGAGGGCTCCTTTTATAAGTACAGCCCCCTCCCCTTCTGTTTGTAATTTAGTTCTGAGGCTTCACCATCTCTTGTCTCCCTCCATTTCCCCCAGCCCCGCAGCGGAGAACCCCAGGACTTCCCCCCCCCCCTCTTCCCTCCCTCTGCCCCCAGCCAGCCTCTGGGTCTAAGCATTGCAGGTAGATCCACACCAGGTTTTTTTTTAAGCTTCGCCCCTTTAAGACTTGGGGACTTCAACTCCCAGAATTCCCCAGCCAGCCAGCATGGCTGGCTGGGGAATTCTGGGAGTTGAAGTCCCCAAGTCTTAAAGGGGCCACGTTTTTTGGGGGAAAAAACCCTGATCCAGACTCTTCCTGCTGTTCCTTTCTTCCCTTCCCCCCCCCAACACAAGACTGTTCTTTTTCTAGACAAGTTTAAAAAAATAAAATATATAATCTGTACAGGGTGCACCTGGGCTTGGGGGCTTTTGAAAACCGGTTGGAAAGATTTTTATATTTTTAGAAGTGGAAACAGAGAATCCCCCCCCTTCCTTTCCCCTCTCTGAGTCCTCCAAGACCCCCCTCCAGCCAGCAGCTCTTCTCCTGGTGGGGGGCTGCCTCCCCCCTCCCTCCCAAGTCAGTGTTCTGTTGTTCAGCTTAGTCGCCCCCTTCCCGTGACGCCCCCCCCCCCGCCAGCCGGCGCAAAAAAACGCCCCTTCGGACGGGCCATGGAGCCGCTTTCCTTAAAAAGGGGGTTATTTCACCCCTTCTTTGCCCCCTCCCCCGTTTTCGTCCCGGAGAACGAGCCGATCGCTGATGTAGAGCCGCAGAGCGAAGGTCGCTTTCTCGTTTGCAAGAAATAAAAAAGCTTAAAAAGACTCCGGAGCCCGCTTTCCTTGAGCCTCGTCTTTTGGGTCTGGGGGCTGGCGGGGTAGAAGGGCGGGGCCTCGACGGCCTTATCTTCCGGCTCATTGGCCGGCCAGGTGGCGGGGGCGGAGCAGGTGGTCGGCCACGAGCGATCGCGGAGCGGCAGCGTTTCCTTCCCTGGCCGGCACAGAAAGCCGCAATGAAGAGGCAGCCGACCGGGCGGGGGCCGGAGCCGAGAGCCGGCCGGGTCCTGACCAAGGCGGCCGAGGTGAGGCGGAGGAGCGGCCGGGGATGCTGATGCTGCAGCCGGGCAGGGCGAGGGGAGCCGGGATGGGCTGACGCGCGCTTCCTCTGCCGCAGTACGTGGGCTCTTTCGCCGTGGAAGACGCCGATCTACCCCGGGCGGGCCAAGCGGTGCATCAGCGGCTGCAGCTCCTGAAGGTGCGCGGTGGGTTCATCGGGGGGAGGGATCCGGTGGGCAGGCGCCTCTGTGCGGAACGAATGGATGGACATCCCCGGTTGCCGCCGCCGCCTCCCCGCTCCGTCCCTCTCGCCCTTCTTCTCCCCCCACGCAGGACTGTCCGCGGCGGCGCTCCGTCCTCCTGCGCTTCTGCCTGCAGGGGCTGAAGATGCTCGGACGCGACGGCGAGGTAGGGCGCGCCTCCACCTGGTGAGGCGAGGGGAGGGGGCGATGGACGGGCAGGCCGGGAGGCTGAGCCTCCGCCGCCCCGGTGCTCCCTCGCTCTCTCTCTCGCCCGCAGGCTCCGCTCATGGCCCACGCCCTCAAGCGCCTCGCCTATAGCACCTGCCGGCCCGCCGATCGCCAGTTCGCCTTCCTGGCCCGCAACCCGCGCGGCGCTCGCGGCAGCCTCTTCTGCCACCTCTTCGTGGGCGGGCAGCCCAGCGAGGTTCGTGGGCGACGCTCTCCGGCTCGGGCAAGGCTGTCTCGCAAGAGCTGCCCGGTTACAGATCACCTGGCAGTGGCTGGAAGGGCAAGGAGGACGACCTTCTCTGGAGGGCATCGGTCAAGCACCCAGCCTCCTCCTCCATTGCTCCCCACCAGGTCCAGGCACTGCACTACCTCCTCTGCCGCTTCTTCCAGCTGGGCTACCTTCTCCTGCACCCCGAAGACCAGGACTGGTCCTCCTCCTCCTCCTCTGGCGGCTCTGCCCAGCGAGATTCTGGGAAGTTGCTAGGCGCCTCTCTGGACAACCAGGTGGTCTGGGAGTCCCTCCGTCCCGAGGAGGTCTCCCAGAACGTCAACGCCCTGGTGTCCTTCCGGAGGCTGCCCTGCCCCACAGAATTTGGCACCTCGGTCAGCGTGGTGAGTAGCCTCTGCCTCCCCCTAGCTCAGTGGTTGGCATCCTTAAAACACTCAAAGAGCCACAAAAGTCCTAACCAGAACCTCCACGTTCAATTCTGGAGCCGACCGGAAGTCCAGTCTGGTTCCCCCCCACTCCCCCAGTCTCCTCTATCTGTCCTAACCTAAAGCCTTATCAATTGTGGAGCCGACTGGCAACAGGGAGCCGCAGCAGAGGAGTGAAAGAGCCACATGCAGCTCCAGAGCCACAGGTTGCTGGCTCCTGCCCTAGCTCACCTCTTCCACAGCAGCAGTGGCTCTCTTGAGGGGCTGGGATCTGGGACCCCAACCTTCAGGGGCCTCCGAGGGTCTTAACTTCCAAGCAAGCCCTGGATTTTCCAGTCAAGAATTGAGGTTCGCTTTACAGCCCTGGGGACTGTTTCAGTGGCACGCAGTTAGTTTGCGTCTACCAGTTACCAAACAGTCCAGTTTTGGACCAGGCCTCCCGGAGTCTCTGCCTCCCCTGCTCAGCAGCTGCCCTGCTTGTGCCCCTTAGAGAGAGAGGCTGGACCTGGAGGAAAGCAGCAGCAGCAGCGTGGGCAGCGCCCGTCCTGGAAACCCCTATTGTTCCCCAATTCTGGTGCGCAAGAAAGCCATTCGCAGCAAGATTCTCCGTTCTGGGGCCTACCGAGGTTGCACCTTTGAGGCAGCCTCTCAGCAGGGCGCCTGGGAAGGATGTGAGTATTTGGGGAGCCTAGTTGGGGTGGGGGTGGGGGTACAAAAAGGAGAGAGAAGGAAGCCGGGACAGAAAATGGCGCAGTGCTTCGTTGATAACTTTGGAAGCTCTACATTGCAGATAACCTCTTGCCAAGGGAAAAGGACAAATTGGTTTTCTTCCTGGCAACGAAAGAAAAAGCTTCCACACATTATCGCAGGTTGAAATAACATGGCCGCCAGGCTGTTATTTTGCTGAACAGCTACAGAGCATTGGGTGCTGGATCGGGGCCAGAATCCACCAGCACACGGCCCTCTGTTCCCCATTGCCACATTGTTCATGTTAGGGGACAAATCTTGGCGAAACGTGAAGGCTTCCAATCTGTCTCTTTGTGTCCTTTGGTTCCAGTTTCCTTCAGCTGTGATGGCAGAGGGAGCCTGCTTCACCTGCCAGAAAATGAGAACGATTTGAGGGAGAGTGTGTGGTCCTTTGCGGGCATCAGCAGGTGAGGAGGGGGGCCTCCTCCCTAGATGGCACTGGAAGCCTCAAAGGCGCTTCTGCCCACCCCACCAGCAGACCTAAGGGTTTGCTGGTGCACAGCGGCTGTGGATGGCTGCTGGATATTGTGTCAAAGACATCAGGGGCCTTGAGTGCCCCTCTGGGTGAGGCTGCAGAGACCCACCCACCCCCGTTCTGCTGGGCCCCCTGATTCCTGCATTTTGCTCTGCCTTCCAGAGATGCCGGCCTGGCCCTGCTAAGGAATGACATGCTAGGGGCTTTCCTTCTGTGGGCCGAGTCTGGATCCACCCATCAGTGGTGTCTAGCAGTGAGGACCCGCTGCGGCGTCGTTCCATATCAAATTTACCGCAGCCAGCTGGGAAAGTACTCAGTTGAGGTGAGAGAATTGGGGAAGGCGGCAATGTTTCTTTTTTCCCTTTTAAAACAAACATTTCACCATTCATTAATCAATGTGTCGTCTGAGTACAAATTTTGGGGGGGTATCATAATAGTTAAGAGCTTACCACTAAATTCTTTATATACATCTATTCTTATTTTAACATTACAGCTTAAAACGTATCTCCTCTTATTTCTCTTCCTAATTTATTTAATTCTATACTTTTTTTATTCCCAGTAATCATCTTTCATATGTATAATTTTACATACAACCGCCTTTTAAATGTATAATATATAGCAATTGCATTATTATTTCCCCCCTCCCCCAAAGTGTATCTTTTTTTGGACAAAGTTCAAACATTTCACATAGTTTAAAATTCATATCCATATTTTCAGCTATCATCCTAATATTATTACATAGCTAAAGATCATTGAACACCCATAATTTTCTAATCTTTTATTATAACATCAATTATTAATCCTCATTAAAAGTGTTTTCAAATGCCCTCCTTCTTTTTTCTCCCCTCCTTTATCCCATATTTCCAAAGTCTTGCCGAACTAGCTTCCTTTTTCCAGTCCTTAAGCCCACATTTCCATTGTTGTTTTTAATTTATCTTTTAAATCGGGCATCATTTCGCTTGCAGTACCACTCTGGGCTGATTTACTCAGCAATATTCACTTTTGTCCTGGGCGCCTGGAACGAAGGTGTACAGCCAGTCATATTTTTCTTTTCTCTTTCTCTCTCTCTCTCTCCCTCTTCCCCCCATCCCTCAAGCATTTGAATGTAGAATTCCCCAGTATGGAAGCCTTGTTAGACAATTACTCCGGGGTTCGTGCAGGCCTGTTCTGCTCCTTGGGCGCAGGAAGAATCAACCATTGTTATGAGGAGCAGGAGGATGCGGCCGAGGATCTCTGGGGAGAAGAGCGAAGTCGCCGGAAGTCCTCATGGCTGTTTGGGGCCAGTCGGTCTCTGGCTGTGCAGCATGAGGTGGAGGGATGCTCAGCCGGGGCCTTCTCTTAGCGTTCCTGCCACCTGAAGAGGACAGAGACGGTGGTTGACTATTCCTGCTCACTCCGTGGCTTGGCTTTGTTGTGATTCTTTTTTGGAGTTGTGCGCAGAGGGTGCCCTTCCTCTTGTCGTGTCGTAATTCAGGGTTTCTTCCCGCCATCAGAGGGCTGATGCACGAGTTGGCTGGGCCTCCACACCCGATTTAGGGAGTGCCATGGGGTAGTCTTGGGCTGACAGCACATTGACCAATTGGTTGGGAGGGGGGTTAGCTTGAAGGGCAGTAAGCCTCTCTGCCTTTGCACTCCTGGCCGATTCTTCTCCAGTCTGCATTGGGGGGAACCTTTGATCAGGAGCCTGGATTTCTGCGTCGTCTGTTTAGTGATGCACCCGTGCCCTTATTTATAGGAAGCTGAATGTAAAATGTATGTGAGTAATTTATTGGAAACAAGTGTATTGTTTTCTCCGGGCTGCTGTGTTCAGTGGTGAAAGATGCATTGCTTATATTTAACAGATGCAAAACCGATTGTACAGGGGTGTCCTGCAATCATATATATATAAATAGATCTATAGATATATATTTGTATTTCAAATGCAAAGTCTGCGCGTCATTTTCTTCCCCCTCGTGGGGAGCCGAGAAAGCGACCCGGGCGCGCCTCCGTTACTACGGCAACGATCGCTCCCCTCGGCGATCCATTAGCCCGTTCACGCTGCCTGCGTGCCGATTGGCTCCTGCCAACAGAAGGGGCGGGGCGACGTCCGCCTGGCGTAGCGAGCGCCGAGCGTTCGATTCATTGAGCGGAGGGACGGAGGTGTCTCCTTTTCATTAGCTCACGCGGACGGACGGGCCCCGCCCCCTCTGAATTCTCCATTGGTTCATCGAGGCGCGCATCGGCCTCTTCCGGCCGAGGTCTGTCAGCTCATTGGGCGGGAGAGCTGGGTTCGCTTCCGGGGCGCCCAGCGAGGGAAGAGAGAAGATGGCGGCGGCGATGCTGCTCTTGGTGACAGGACTGGTGGTGGCGACTACATCTGCGGCGCCCGGCGGGGGCGGCCCGCGAACGCTGGTGCTGCTGGAGAACATGAACCTGAAGGACACGCACTCGCTCTTCCTGCGCGGCCTGGCAGGTCCGGCAGCCGAAGGGGGAGGCGGTGGGGGCCGCGGCGGAGGGGCTCCCGGCTTCCCTCCCCTGAGGGGACGCGGCGGCGGCGGCCTCCCTCTATATTCTCCTTTCCCCCTGCAGAGCGAGGCTTTGACCTGATCTTCCGGACGGCGGACGACCCTGGCCTGTCCCTGATCAAGTACGGGGAGTTCCTCTACGACAACCTGGTGATCTTCTCCCCCTCGGTGGAAGGTGAGGCGGCGGGTCGCTCTTCCTCCCCCCCCCAAAAAAGCGGGGCTCCAGGGCTCTTCCTTTGCCGTTGGCGCCTGTGGGGGGGGGGGAAGCGATGAGTGGCCCCATAGCAGCATAGGTGGCGAAATAAATGTTGATAATAATAACGGTATTTGTGATGCATTTTTGAATGTTCAGTTGTGTTTCATGTTTAATGAATAAAGTATAATAATAATAATAACAACAATAACAATAATAATAATAATAATAATAATAATAATAATAATAATATAACAACAACAACTTGGTTGATGCCTAGGATGCTGCCAGCAACCTGTATCAACCATCAGCACCAGTCAGTGGTATTTGTGATGCACTTTTGAATGTTCAGTTGACTGAGTTTCATATTTAATGAATAAACTATAATAATAATAAATTATTATCAAATAATTAATTAAATTTATTTATTAATTTATTATTAAATTTGTTTAATAATTTATTTTTGAATGATAATTAACGTTTGTTATTTCGATGACCTGGCCATCAAAACTACCCGGTTATGGATGAAACATGTAATAGGTCCATTGTCATCGGGCCACTTGGTACCATGTCCCAAGAATTTTATAAGGTACATCAACAAACTGCAGCTTCCTGGGATAACACCAGTGGAACTGCAAAAAAACTGTGTTACTAGGAACATCATATATTTTAAGAAGATACCTGGTTGATACCTAGGATGCTGGCAGCAACCCATATCAATCATTAACCCCAGTCAATGGTATTTATGATACATTTTTGAATGTTCAGTTGACTTGAGTTTCATGTTTAATGAATAAAGTATAATAATAATATAATTAAGAAGGTACTTGGTTAATATCTAGGACGCTGGCAGCAACCCATATCAACCATTAACACCAGTCAGTGGTATTTATGATTCATTTTTGAATGTTCAGTTGACTGAGTTTCATGTTTAATAAATAAAAGAGAATAATAATATATTTTAAGGGGAGAGAAGAGGGCGGTCATAATTACTCATTGATTTTCAAGCTGTGAGTTTCGATTTATCAAGCTCGATCACATAGTTTCGTAAAGGAGCACTCGTATTCAGCTAGTAGTATTATAATTTGCAAATTGAAGTTGAGCGATTGTGGAGGAAGAAAACAATAGTTATACCAATAGTAATAGGAGCCCTTAGAGCAATACCCAAAAGGCTGCCTAGATACCTGGAAATTTTGAACTTATCAGATCTGAATATTCTGACTTTTTTGGGGGGGGGGGGACACCTGCCTATACACCCTACTCTGAACTGCCTATACAGGTAGTCCTCAGCTTACAACAGTTCGTTTAGTGACTGTTCAAAGTTACAGCGTCACGGGAAAAAGTGACTGATGACCATTTTTTCACAGTTACAGCCTTGGTAGCATCCCTGGGATCCTGGGATCAAAATTCAGATGCTTTGGCAACTGGTTCATGTTTATGACCGTTGCTATGTCCCAATGTCATGTGATCACTTTTTGCAACCTTTTGACAAGAAAAGGCAAGGGGGAAGGAAACCACATTCACTTAACAACCAGGTTTCTAACTAGTAATTCACTTAATTGTGGCAGGAAAGGTTGCAAAATGGGGGGGGGGACTCACTTAACAAATGTCTCACTTAACAACAGAAATTTTGGGCTCAACTGCGGTCATAAGTCGAGGACTACCTGTATACTCAGATGCTACCTTAATAGCTCTCAGATCCTTGGTTATGATTTGAATGGTTAAGTTTTTACCAGTCCCAGAGACTTTGAATCGAATTGAAAATTAACAATAATAACAGTACCGGTAATAGTAATAATACCAGTAACAAGATAATGATAATATATGCCGGGCAGAACTAAGACTGTCCAGTGAAGCACAAGAGCTGTATGTTCCTTTGTTGGGGCTTCACTCTGTTGGCTTGCACACTTTGCTAGCTGGCATGCTGTATTGCTGTAAACCTTTTGATCTTGTGACAAGAAATTTAACCCGGTCATTGTGTTTCAGATTTTGGAGGCAACATCAACGTGGAGACTATTGCTGCTTTTATTGATGGAGGTGGAAACGTCCTTGTGGCTGCCAGTTCAGATATCGGTCAGTGAAACAGGCGCAGTGGAGCAGATTGTCTTTAACTTAAAAGAGAGAATTTCCCTCCTTCTGTTCTTTTTATTAGTTCAATCTCAAGGCCGGCCAAAGCCAAACAACAAAAGTCCACCCTACTTAAGGCCTGCGAGAACATCCGGGTTTTAAGCAGTTTGTGGAAAGTAAAAGCTTTATATTGATGGAGAAATGTGATCAATCGTTATTCATCCCTTCTGTTTTGTAGCTATTGTCAGAGACAGACAGTTACACTTGCACTTTTGGACCTCGTAGTTCTAGAAGTCTGCATCTTCTTCTCTTTCTCTCCTCCTCTTCTTCCTTCCTCTATCTGTCGTCTATCTATCCCATCCTATCTTCTATATATATATGAAAACAGGTCTGTGTGTGTGTGTGTGTGTGTGTGTGTTCCAGCATAACTCTGGAACACCTCAAACAATTTCAATCAAACTTGGTACACAGATGACTTGCTCTCTGGAGAAAAATACTGTGGGGGGTAAGACATCCCTAACACCACTCAGGGTATTCTGTTAAGATACAGCCTGCTGTGCTGTAAAAGGGCTTCTACTATACAGCACAGTGGAGTTGCCATGATAATGGTTTCACAGTACTCCTCAAGGGGATTCCTTCTGGTAAGGGGGGAAATCCAATATTAGAAATCGGTCTGGACATTTTCCCCCTTTAAATAAACACCTGGGCAATGCCGGGTTATTGGCTAGTATTTTTATAAAATAAGTGAAATTTTAAAAAAAGAAAGTTGAGAACTCTTTGGCACCTTCTGACAGTTCAGGCAGATTTATTGCAAGTGTCTCCCCAGCGTGTTAGAAACCCTCTTAGATGGCAGGTAAAAGGAAAAGGTGTTCCCCTTTTAGTACAAAGCGAAAACGGACTTTTTAAATCATCCTTAGGTGATCCCCTTCGAGAATTGGGAAGCGAATGCGGGATAGAATTTGATGAGGAAAAGACAGGTGTGATTGACCATCACAACTACGATGTCTCTGACCCAGGGCAGGTAAGCAGGACACAGAACACAAGGGGTCCAGTTGGCTGCTGCCGCCCTTATAATCCACCTGCTCCCAGGGATGGCCAACACCTTAGTCAGAAACCTGCTAAGGAAAGTTCAGCAGGTGTCTCTTTCTGTCCTTCTGCAGCACACCCTGATTGTCGCAGACTCTGAGAATCTCCTTAAGGCGCCAACGATTGTGGGGAAGAAGCCCCATAACCCCATTCTTTTCAGGGGAGTTGGGTAAGTCCTGTGCCCACCCAGCAGAAGAACACCCCACTCTATCTCTGTCTACTTCAACTCATGAACCCTTTTCTTCCCCAGGATGGTGGCTGATCCTGACAACCCTTTGGTCCTTGATATTCTCACCGGCTCCTCAACTTCGTATTCCTTCTTTCCGGACAAAGCTATCACCCAGGTAATGTGGGACTTGTGCTTCCCAATCCATTGCAAAGAGATGGGGGTTGGGTTTGGCTGCTCCCCCCTTCTTTTTAGCCCCGCGTGTGCGGTGTCTGCTGAGCCTCGTTCGGAATGGGCAGCTTTTGAGGCTTCTTTTACGCCACCCACCCACCTCCGGTTTCCGCTTCTGATCTGCACCATTGTTGCCAGTGGTTCGTTGTTGGGCAATGCTTTCTTCTTCCGGAAAGACTTGAGACAACCTCATGGTTTGAATCCATATTCCTGGGTGTTCTGACCCAAACAGGACAAACCCTCTGTGGTTGAAGCAATGATTCCTTTATGAGGAGTGCCAGCAGCCCCGGCAAACAGTTTCTCTCTCACTGCAAGCTAACAAGTTTGTCCGGCAGGGAGGTGAATAGTTGTCTGCCACATCTATTCATCTCTGCCCCCTGCCTTTTATTCCCCAGAGCTAGGGTGGGGCTTCGCTAGCAGGAGTGGCTCTTCCATCCCAAGGATAGGCCCATAGATTTCCATTGTTCTCCTCTCCTCTGCCTTCTGCGCATCCACGCATCAGACACTGGACCCAGCTGTTCATCCTCTTCCTCTTCAGCCACCTCCAGACCTGGGGGCTGTTGACTCTCCATTTGAGGGCTGAGGGACAGCCCAAGCTCCGCCTCTGTCTCTGTCTCTCTCTCTGCCAGATTCATTCCCTCTTCCTCCTCAGAGCTCTCAAGTGCTA